GTCTTTTAATTTCTAGGCTGCAGTCCCCATCATAAGCATTAGGGGCGCTTATTGTGTAACTTCTAATGAGCTTTAAGTGAACGCTGGTAAGTTGGGGATTACTTGTAAGGGAAGTTGTAAACAGGACATGGAGGGGGAATATAATGGAAAAAGAGGTGGCAAGCTAGGAGAGTCACGTTTTGCACAGGACTAACCCTCTACAAATTTACCTTCATTTTGGAGTCTTTTGAAACATAAGCTTTTGACAAAGGAAGCACACAAACCTTTTCCAGCACTTTTCTTTACCATCCATTTTCTAAGGTAAAGTGTTACATAGAATTTTAGGGTTAGCATTTTAATAAAGGTGATATTGGCACTACAGCTCCCTTTGTAGTTTATATCTATGGCTCCTTTTGTAGTTGATGAAACCATGGTTTTCCTTGGAGTGGAAGCCATTTCCTTTGATTTACAAAAACTAGCCCTTTCAGGGACCCTCAAATGGGAAGACTGCATTCTGAAGTCCTCCAGCATTGTAAATTACAAGAAAATAGTTTTTATTTTGAAAAGGCAACTGGACTGATTTTATTGAGAAAAAATGCAACATTTCGCTTCCTATCCTGGAAACTTCATTGGTTATTTCAGTTACAAGAAACAAATCCGAGTGGGAAATGAACAGATGCACCGTATTTTACGGGCATTTGTCTTTTCTAATCAATTGTCTTACTTGATTATCTGACACATCACTTTATCAAATGGATGTTTTGTTTGTTTCTGTATCCTACAGGACAGTGGTAGGATTCAAATAATTTAACAACTGGTTCTCTGCCCCAATGACTGCTTTAAGTATAAAATAACGATATGCCGAAAGGTAGTTTATTATTTCATGCATTTAATACTTAAATAAGAACAATAAAAGAGGTACACAAAACTAGATTGTTATAAGTTTTAAAATACTAATGAAAAATATTAAAAAATACTCGACAAAAAAACTATAAAACTGTTATTTAAGATATTTCCATATTGCTTCTTGATTGGCATCCTCACTTGCAATTTTCTTGACTTTTATCCGAGCATCATCGGCTGTGTGGTTTATCCTTAACCATCTTTTCACTGTAGGAGTAGGATCCCATTCCTTTAGAGGCAGGCCGATTAGACTAATAGTCATTGTGTTTGATATATTAGAAACAGTTAGGCAACTTCTCTTGGTAAGTTCAATTTGGTTCTTATTGGATTGATGAAAAATGGTATATATCTTATTAATACATATTTTAAAATGATTTACTTGCTTTATTTCTTTTATCGAATCATCTAAAACAAGAGGGAGGCGATGGTTTAAACAGTGCCATATTATGATGTTTGGAAACTCTTCTGCTATCCTAGTGCTCACTCCAGATTTTCTCCCAAGCATAATGCTGCCACCATTGGAGCAAAATCCTATTAAATTCTTTTCTAGGTAGTTCTTGGTAAGCCCAACATTATTTAAACTTTCCATAACTGAAGAACATATTGTCTCTGCATCTTGTTTTTCCAATTCAACTAGCTCAACAAAAATTGTTGGTGATGTAACTGAATCCTCAACTTTTAAGAAAAGTATAATAACTGGTTTGCAAGATATCGTTGAGGCTTCGTCAATAATCAAACATATTTTCAGATTCTTTTCAACAATTTTAGTAAATATTTCTTTTTTAATTTCCTTTGCAATGAAATCAACTATTTTCACAGCAGTTTTACGTGAATGTAATCCTATTCCCATATCTAATCCATTTTTAATTTGCACTTCTATCTCAGCTTCTATGTCTGAAAACGGTTTACATCTTTTTGCCAGGCTGTAAACTGTATTAAATACTCTACAAGTGGTACGTAAATATTTTTCATCCATCGTATCTATTACTTTTGTTACCGAATCCTGCTCACATTGTTTTAAATTCTCTTCACAAATGTTATGAGCTTTTGATGAAAAATGTTCTTTCATTTTTTTTCTTAGAGAAGCTTGTTGTACCTGTTTATTTTTTCCTGATGCCTCAATCTGAAAGCATTTCCATTCTTTTGACACATGAACACTTTTCTCTTTTGTGAAGTCATATTTTGCACAATACTCGCAACCTAACTTTTTGTTAGAAATTACCAGTCCGTCATATTTTTCTTTAAAATTGTTATATTGTTGCACTGTCCAGCATTCAGGAAGACTATTTTCAATTTTGAAGTTATCGTTTTTTATTTCAATAATTGACGTGCTGCTTCCTTCAAGATGGAGTGGTTGTGCTCGTGACTGTTTTGTACAATCTAAGGCCAATTCTGATACAACTGGTTCTGATTTTGGTTTCTTATTGAACGAATCTGTCAAACTCTGTTGTCTTTTCATCCTTTTAAGGGTTACTGCAAAAAAATTAAAAAAAATGTTTTAATATATTATAATAATATTTATTTATGGACATTAATACTCTTTATCAAAGATAAAGATATTGTACAAAACCTATTAAAAAGTGTATGCATCAATAACCAGGCAAGGACATGTAACGAAGAATGCAAAGTTTATAACATATTACTACAATCACCAGAGAAAATTATAGAATAAAGAGTAGCCAATAAATAGAATTGAAAGAAAAAGAAAAAATCATAAAAGATAAGCCAATCGCTGGGACAAGATAAAAATATCACAAAAATAAGCTGGTATTGCGCAAGTAGAAAAAATATGATTCAAACAATATGTATAAACTATATCAGTATCAGTATTTAGAAATAAGGTATTTCAAGAATAAAGAACAAATATATAAGGGAACAAAAGACTATATAATCACAGAGCGTGGAAAAAAAATATAAAGTACCAACAATGAAAGTTACATGCCAACACATCACAACTATGAAAAATGGTCATAACTTTTTTCAATGCTGGTTATTAAATGAACAGTTGTAAGTTGAGGACTACCTGTATAGAAGTGATCTGACTAAATCAGTGTTTAGCATATGCCAGTGATGGCGAACCTTTTAGAGACCGAGTGCCCAAACTGCAACCCAAAACCCACTTATGTATCGTCGGGTGCCGGGTGGGTGTGGCCAATTGGGTGGGCGTGGCTGCAGTGGTAACGGCAGACTGGGTGGGACTAAAAAGTTCAATCAATAAATTCCAACTTTGCAAGATCTTTTTTTTCCTGCGAGGTTGAAATTGATTTTTTTTTTTTTGCACACGGTGGCGGAGGCCTAAAGCGAAAAGGTTTTATAAAACCCAGCTGAAGGCCTAGGACTGGGGCGATGGCGCACATGCCCATAGAGAGGGTTCTGCGTGCCACCTGTGGCATACGTGCCATAGGTTTGCCACCACAGGTATATGCAATTACCTATCTCTGGGCTAAAACCAATGTTTCTGGAATAACAGCTCATGAAATCTTTGCTACCTATAAATTTACTCCACAAAATGACAAAATTGCTTAACTAAGCATTTGCTATATGAAATCACAGGTTGATGCCACTGAACTGCTATTTGCCATCTGAAATAGCACCTGTCACTTAAACAGTGCTTATTATATTAAAAGACTAAATCAGGGGTGTCAAACTGCCAGCCCATAGGCCGGATGCATAATAGTGAAACTGCGCCCACCCCATTGCTGGCAATGGAAAAAAAGTCGGGACATATCACGACACATTACGAGTTTAACACCCCTGCACTAAACTAAGGTTTGATATATGAAATTGAAATTCTGCTATTTAAACTTAACTCATAGGCCTTGGTATAAAATAGGAAAGCCCATCCTGCTACAAAGAACTACATTAGAGTTTAATGCACAAAATCACAGAATCCTTTAAGAGCTTTCCTGTTCATCATTAGTTGCACTCTCTTATATAGCTAGACAGGAAAAAGTTCCAGAGCCTCGCCCCCCTTTCCCATATGCAGCAATCAGGGAAATTAGAGAGATGAAGCATCTATTTCTGAAATTACCTTCAAGAAGCACCACCTAGTTTTCACCTGAGTGACCTGATTGAAGACACCGCGTCTCCTGTTTGGTTTCTGTAGCTTCTCTCTTGGACTTTTGGGGAGGATTTCTCCCCCCCTCCCACTGCCTGGAAGGAAGTTGAATGAAAACCAGACCTGTTTTGGAAAAACACAGATTTATCATGACGGGTTCACCGAACTCAACAAAAAATTAGATATCAGTTCTGCTGAAACCAGTGCTAACCGGCTGAATCCTCAATTTTTTTTTAAAAAAAATGTGAGTATAGGGCGGCCCGCACAGGCCATGCCCACCGTGCTCCGCAAAAGCAAACAACAACAACACATCACGATACATCACATGACGCAAAACGAGTTGGACACCCATGGTATATAGGGGTACAGAAAGTGGGAAAGGCTTGACCCCCCCCCCCTTAATAAAAGCCCTTCCACTTCGCCTGAAGTGCTTGTGATTCGTATAGGAGCGGCGGGGAGACGAAAACAATCACTTTACCAAGGTATGAAGTATTTCTCAAATTCAGGAACTAGGCTTTTTCCGGCTCCACCCTAACTCAGGAGTTTCTCTTCCCACACAGTCCGGAGAAGCCCTTAACAATTCCGTTACTGAGCATCCGACGCTTTCCTTTCAAAATAACAAGCGGGAAGCCCCGCCCTCCTTACGTCGTTCCGTTACCACACCAGGCGAGCAGATTCCTAAACTATTCCCCCCCCACACTCCAGAACGTACACCAATCAGAAAGCAGCGATGGTTCGGTTTCTGCCACTCGTCTCTCTCTCTCTCTCTCTCTCTCTCTTTTCCCCCCCCCCTCTTCCCCGCCCCATCCCCGTTTATGGTACCGCGATAACAAGTTGCCGGGAGTGAAAACGTTGGGTTAGCTTAATGGCGGTAGTGAGCTAAAGACGAGGCCGTTGAGATTGAAAAGCCGTTCCTAACTGTGGCAGGGTCCTAGCAAAGGTAGTTTCACCACCTAAATTCGCAGCTCGCAGAAATGTACGTCTGGCTCCTGTTGTTTTTTCTTTTTCTGTTTACCACCCCCCCATCCGTCCCGGAATAGTACGTTCCTATTTCCCGATTTCCTGAATGGGGTCTCCCGCGCGTCTTTTCAAAATACTTCCATTCCCCCCTTCCCGTTTGTTAAGTTGGAAGCTCCCGAGCTGTCGGGAGAGCCGACCATTCTATTCGCGGTGTTTTGGAGAGGGGGGGAAGAGGAGGTACTAAAAAAGTAGGGTGATACAGCCAGCCTGGGTGTTTTTTCGGGAGCTCAGATGCAAATGGAAAAATCTGTTTTGTGCGATCCATGTTTCGTACAAAGGAACGCTGTACTAACCGGACATACTTAAAACCGTTGGCTCAACTCGCTTTCCGCCGAGTTTTCCTTCATGAGCGCCAGATCCTCACAGTAGAGATGTAAGAGCCAAGAGACTTTTGGGCTTATGCGCGTGTGCAAGAAACGTGAGAAGGAGAAGCAAGCTCGTAGCATCCCTGAACTGCTCTTCCCAATTGCCTTTCAAGCGAGCTGCGTTCTGCAAAGTAATTTGGCAGGACTGTTACGTGGCATAAATCAATGCAAGTAACATAAAAATAGCTATTGTGGAGTTATGCAAATGATACAAGTGTGGGATATTATTACTGTTTACAGAAAGAACTGACTTTTCCATTATTTCAGGGATGACATCCACGTTCTCTGATCTGGCCCCATTGCATCATAAGCCCATTAGACTTTGTTCGATCAAAGGTTCATTGTATGTGTTGCTTTTTCAAGTTCTACAAATAACCTGCACAGAGTTTGCTCTCCAAAGACTAATTATGTCCTTGAAAAGACTTTTGCATTAGTAAAGAGTTATTTAACAACAACAAACAATCTGAATCTTTAGGCATCTGAACATTTTTTCTAATATCGAAAAGATAAGGGTAGATGTTAGCACTTGTTATGATGAATGTGGCAAGTCACACCTTTATATATATTCATTTTTCTATCTTTTTTAGTTGTATTCTTAATTACAGTATTTAATAAAATTATTATAAAAAAGGTTTGCAGATACTTTTTTTATTTTATTGGACAATTAAAAACTGACCGACCAAAGCTAAAAATTGTAGAATTAAGAAAGAAAATAAACCAAGTGCAAAAATAAAACTAAGCAAGAATGAAGAAGAAATATCTACAGGTGGATGCAGTACTGAACTTTTGTCTTAAATATTATTAAGATGTACTCTAATGCTGTTAACATTGTTAAAAGATTTCATCTTTTTTACAGCAAAATGTTCCCATCACTAATTCAACATTTATATTTAGGATTATTTCTTAATAAATATCATAAAAATATATATATCTTTCTGAAAGATCCATATTTTACCTTTTTTTCCCTTTCATAGAGTAATTGAAATTATTAATATGATCAAATATGGCATCCTATTTGGCACAAGAAATTCAGCTTGCTAAGCAGCATGAAGAAATGTAAGTAGTTTTGAAGATGTCCTGTTTTTGGATGTTAGAAAAATACAGTAAAATATATTATGAATGCTTAGGAATTTGAAGCACTATTCCCAAATCTATGAACTGATTTATCAAACTGAAAACAACTGATTATTCTAAATTTAAGATAACCATCTTTTAGAAAAATAATAAATATTAATAACAGAAAAATACCATACTATGTTGCCTTTTCTTAAGAAGTGCCATATTTTGCCTCTAGGGGGAGCTGTCCACCAGTGCTGTTTTTCAAATAAACCATAATGTGAAAGTCCTTTTCAACCTTGAATTTTCTGATTTAATTCCAGCCACAGCTTAATGATTTGATACGCCTTTTCTAAATTCAGTATAATGTCCCGTTTCATTGAATTTCTCTCAGTCTTGCAGCTAACACTTCAGATTCTATCCAGATTACTAAAACATTTTTTAAAAAATGATCATTTAGAGTTACTGCAATATCCTAGCTTTGTTTTAAACATCTCAATTTTCTTGTTCAAAAGGCAGTTGCAGAATTTTGATATGTAGTCCAAAGTCAACCTATTCTAGCTTCTTGCTTCCGTAGTTAACAATCTGTAGGAAACATGCTGACTGGATTTGAAGAAAATAGTTGTATCCTATAATAGTTTCTCAGTGACTAATAGCATAACGTACTATCTGTATATGTGTACAAATAAATATGTTATTGGTAACTTATCATTCACACCCTATGAACCCTACCTTGACATTTACTTTTTAACAGGGATTGCATATCAGCAAATTTCTGATCAGTTGTTGTACATGCATACACTAATCAATGTATGCTTTCTGTGGGTTAAATTTCTAGCATTAATACACACATTTTCAAACTATCCTAGGATGAACCTCAACTTGCCATTTTGTTCTATTCTCTCACTTTGAGGAGATCTTTTTTGTGTGCATCTCTGTATTTAATAATTTGATCTCATCCAGATGTGATCCCTCACTATTCAGAGCTGAATCCAGATCATTTGTGGAGATATTAAATAGGCTGTCCCAATTTATATCCTAATGTGAAATTATTTATTTATTTATTTATTTTATGAGACTTATATACCGCTTTAAGTGCAAGCACTCTCTAAGCGGTGTACACCAGTAAGCAATGTGTATGTGTGTGTGTGTGTGTGTATATATATATATATATATATATATATATATATATATATATATATATACATTGCCCCCAACAAACTGGGTCCTCATTTTACCTACCTCGGAAGGATGGAAGGCTGAGTCAACCTTGAGCCGGTGAGATTTGAACCGCTGACCTGCTGAACACAGTCAGCTAAAGTGGCCTGCAGTACTGCACTCTAACTGCTGCGCCACCTCGACTCCAAATCTGTGGTACTAGGCCCTCCTAGAGCTCCTCAAATGATCTCATGTGCATTTCCAATCTTTCAGTCTGGTCGGAGAAAAATTATTAAATATATGGAAGTAATTAGAATAGATTTCTAAGGGCAAATATTCCATCTCCATTTGTTTCTGTGGTTGAAAAAAAAAATTATTTATTCTTGGGGGGAAAAGCTTTTGAAAAGTGCCGAAATTGTAGTAAGTGTAATGCCCAGATCTGTGAAGAATCTATTTCTGCTTCTGGATTTTTTCTTCTCAAAATGGAAATAGTAGAGCTAATATAACAATGCAATCTAAATTGATGAAGGTTTAAAAAATGAAATAATGACATAATATGTGGAAATAATGTAGAAAGTAATAGGGTGACAGTGTTATTTAATATAATCTCTGAATAGTTTACATAAATCTGAATGTAGCTGATATTTCTTTAACTTCAGTTGAACGGGTATGTTTGATGGAGGGAATATAGCCCAATAGTGGAGCCTCTACTTTGGATGTGTTACTTTTTAGATGTAATCTCAGATTTTAACCATTTTTTATGAAGATGATACAACGGGTAGTAGTAAAGATTTCTCCCTAAGACTGTAGTCATTTGCCACACAGCAATTAATAAAGAAAATGAAAAGAACAGCTTGTGTACAAATCTATGCACATACTAAGTCCAAGTTCATAATACTTCTGTGCCAAAATAAGCAAAAACAGTCTCCCCTCTTTATTATTGGTTTAATATATACCAGTATTCATTGCACAGAGAACTGACCCAGCAACCCCCCCAAAATTGATGAAAGTCTTGTTTTACTTTGGCATTAGTCTATTAAGAGTAATAAGCGCCTTATTTCTTTTGCATATTGTATACTAATATAGTTTTCTTCATCTCTCTGAGACTATTAAGATAAGATAATCTTTATTGTCATTTTTTTTTACTGTGGGCACAACAGCACACATCAAAAATGAAACACATACATGACACACACCTAAACATACTATATACAACGTATTCTTCCAACTCCTTTCTAAAGAAACTCTTCCCCACATGTAAGATTAAAAGGCTGCTGAGCCCCATTTTATACCCTCAGTTTACAATTTTCAATTTGTGTATGTAGTGTATATACAGAATCCCATTTCTCGGCAAACTGCAGTCTATTGCTCCCTCCCAGGGGAGTTTTCTTGAAATCACTGAATATTTTTTCCCAAAAGCCTTTTTAAAAATCTATGTAGAGAACAGAATAGAACCTCATTACTATAGGAAAGGTTTGGAAAGATAGGTTGTTGGTTTTTTTTTGAGAGGAAAAAAAAACTATTTTCAACGAATCTGGTTTGGGAGGAAAAGTCGAATCTTTTTTTTTTTTTTTAATTGTGCAGAGGGATGTATAACCAGGATGAGAAACATGACTGTTTTTCTGCTGAACGCAGCATCTTTAAAATGTGAAGAATTACCCCTAGTAACAGAATGCAACTAACTCCTAACTAGTGCCCTAAGAGAGCTAACTGAGCCTTGCAGGCCCATCTCGTTTGAGGTGTTCTGTGCCGATTGTCTCATTTATGCAGAGACTGCTTGTTGTACAACATGATGGTTACTTTCTCCCTGGGAGCACAGCACGAAAGGGACTTTCTGTGCTTTCCCCCCCCTTTTTTGTTCTCCCACGCTGTGTTCAACATAATTAGAGAAAAATTGGGTGAGGGTAAAAGGTTGTTGTTTTTCTAGGTGGTTGTGCAAGAAAAAAAAATGCCTGCCCACTTATCATAATGTTTCCCTTTTGTAGACTCTCTCGGAGATTGGTGTTGCTTCAGCAGATGGAGAGTCATCTAAGAGACAAAGACGCTGAGCAGGCATGGCACACGCAAGAAGCTGATGCAGCTCATAAAAGAAATGTATCACTTTTAAACGTAAGTTTTCATGGCTTTGAAGTGGTAACTTTGCTGCAAAATAACCGTGTAATCCATCTCTTCTGGATGAATTCTAAAAATAGTGATTAACGCTTTCAATTGGATCCAGCCAAAAGTGGAGAAGCATAGTCCCGCAACATGTCAAGCATATACATTTCTAACCAAAATAAAAAGATTATAGAGATTCTAGGGTCAGGAGAATCAGCTTTCTCTGAATCAGAATTCTGTTTCATTGCACCCAATGGGGACTGTTCCTGAAAAGCCTTTTTCCCATTATTTTGATGATTGTCCTTAGGAATATGCTGATCTGAACCTATCATCTCAGCTGTTCTGTGTAATCATAACCAATAGCCCTTTTCTTAATGTGTTCATTGGGTCATAGACAAACGCCACAAAAATGCTCACTAAGTAGGCTATTTCACAAATGGTCTCTTAAATTGCCTAGTACAGGGATTGAACGAGGCAATAAAGTATTTCCTTCTGCTTTCAGCTATAGGTTTGAATTGGCCAGAACTTGACATACTGCTAAAAATATTGTTCCTAAGACAGTGTGCTGGCTGTTCTTAGAATTACTGAATTGCCATCATTTTTTATTAAGATGTCAACTAAGGCTTTGTTGCATTATTATTGCTATCAGTTAAATTTAATATCTGCATTGTTGGCACCTTAATTAAAGCAACAACTTTCTCTCTATTCTTTCATTAGCTCCCGAATTCATATATTTAGCATTTGGCTTAAAACAATTGTCTTTGTTGTTCTAACAACATAGCTCCCATTGTTTACACATTTTTTTTCAGTTTGCTTTTAGATCCTGCATACATTCATCTTTACATTCAGTGCTGCTTCTGATTTTGACCTCTCTTCCTCTCTCCATTCTTACAAGTTAATCTTGTGATTTTTTTATGCAGTTCCACTTCTCAGCTATGCAACAACCTCTTACTTTTCCGAGATGATGCCTTTTCATCCTTGTTGCTCCTTTCACCTAACTCCATCTGTGGGTTTCTTATTTTTAATTTATTTTATTGTGCCAAGCCAATCAACAGAATAAAAATGCAAATGCATACAGTAATATTAAAGGATTCATATAATTTAAACATACCAATTAACAAGGTTGGGGGGGAGGGAGATCCTATTTGTTTGTCAAAAAAAGACTAATTCAAATGTTGATGAATAGTACATATTCTTTGCTGCATCTCAGATGCAGATTTATCCTTCCACTATTGCATAATAATTCTATTAACCAATTCCCATGCTAAGAAAATTCACAGAAATGTAATACGTGTTGCCTAATTTTTATGTGTTATTTTTTTATTGTAATTTCTTTTATTATTGTGACCCACCTAGAGTCATTATTTCTCTAAGCCAAGTGTAGTGGATGATTTTTATGATAGTCATAATTGTATTTTAAAAAAATAAATGTTTCACATTTTCTTTATAGAAAATGAAGGAACTTTCTTCTTCGCAGTTTGCAGTTCATTTATTTATACACAAGAAAGCAAAAAGGTACACTTGTGGTATTAATGGGATAAGAGCTAAGCCTATTTGATACATCTGTGCAAATAGGACTATCTGTTTTCCAGTATGGAGAATGAAACCAGCTACTTGGGAGACATAACTTCATTCTAGATGATGTTTGTTAATTTGACATAATAAGACAATAATTCCATAGAGCATGGATATTGTGTTATATTGATCATGAATATATCACATATTTTAAGTCCCAAATTCCTCTTATAATTAAATCTATAAATATGATGGGATCCCATTGATTTTGTGATTTGCAGTCCCACAAAACTATTGTGTTTGACTCCTAGCCATTAAAGATTACCTACTACAGTATGTGGAGAACTTTAAAGCCTTTTGCTTTATCCAAGCTATTTTTTTAAAGCACTCAAAAAGTCTAAGGTAGGATATGCGCAAAATGTACTGTTCCTGCCCTGAAATAGATATCTTTTATTGGGTTACAGTACAATGAATTTTCACTTGGAAAATTAATTTCTGAAAAATCACAGACTATCCTCAGAATGATTAAATAATAGCACTAGCACTTAGACTTGTATATGGCTCCACAGTGCTTTACAGCACCCTGTGGGTAGTTTACAGTGTCACAATATTGCCCCCAACAATCTGGGTCCTCATTTTAACGAGCTAGGAAGGATGGAAGACTGAGTCAACCTTGAGTCCTGTCAGGATCAAACTCCAAGCTGTGGGCAGAGTTTGCCTACAATACAGGTAGTCCTTGACTTACAACCACAATGGAGCCCAAAATTTCTATTATTAAGTGAGACATTTGATAAGTGATTTTTGCCTCATTTATGACCTTTCTTGCCACAGTTGTTAAATATCACTGCAGTTGATAAGTTAGTAACATGGTTTTTAAGTGAATCTGGCTTCCCCATTGATTTTGCTTGTCAGAAGGTAGCAAAAGGGATCACATGACCTTGGGACACAACAACGGTCATAAATATGAACCAATTGCAAAGCCCCTGAATTCTGATCACATGATCATGGGGATGCTGCAAAGGTCATAACTTTGAACAGTTATTAAACGAATCTAGAATAAAATGGCTAAGGAGAAGTATGATGCAATTCTTAACTTCTTTTTTTAAAAAAATATTTTTTTGCCATTGGAAATTACTACAATGTGCAGATTTACTGCCATTATATTTTAGTCTACAGTACTGAGACAAATCACCTTAAGTTTCTACACTCCAAATACAAAGCAATCCTTACGTGCTTCTACGGGCCTTTCAGAGAAAGTTTGATGGGCTCATTATATCGCTTTCACACTTGTTCACCCGTGCCAGTAAAGGCTATCTCCGTAAATTTTATGACCAAACATTTTTCTAGGAGCAAGCCAAGTCATAAGAAATCTTATCATGTCTTCTTTTTCTTCTGGCTCAAAGTCAGCAAGTTTTACTGTCTCTAAGGAAACCATTTCCAAATGGGTGATTACTGACTTAGTTGAGCATAAACACACTGATCTTTTCAGATAGAAAGGGTTTTTCTTATGTTATGGCAGGTTAATCTTTTTATTCTTCCAGCAAGATGCTTACTTGTCAACTGCCTTATAGTCTGTCATGCACTCATGAATCACTCTGTGTCTTGCTCTAACTCTTTAGAGCAACTTGGATTTTGCAAGAAAATTCTCCCCCATCTGGTTTTAAAACATGGACGTACTGTATGTACTTTATCTTTCTAAGTATTATTTTTTTCCCAATTATGCCTTAATTTTCATGTTGTCTTTCCATTGGAGGTTCAGTGTGTTGTTTGTATAGTGGCAGTTATCATTATTTAATTGTTCTAGAGCAGGTGTCCCCAACCCCCGGTCCGTGGACCAGTACTGGACCACGGCATGCCATCAACCGGTCCACACAAACAGGCAAAGCTCTATCCGTGGGATGCAGGCAGCACACAAAACCACGTACCCTCTGGTCTGTGGAAAAACCTCTCTCCATGGAACCGGTTCCTGGTGCCCAAAAGATTGGGGACCTCTGTTCTAGAGTTATCCCATGGGGCAGTATGGCTTTGAAGAACTAGAAATGTGTTACTTTTTCATTTGGAAAAAAAAATGGGAAATTGCTTCCCTTTAATTGATTTGTTCCAAACATGTTATGACAGATCACCCACTCACCCACTCTGCTCTTTTTGGAGCTGAGGGTTCTATAACCTTCTTGTGCATATTTCAGTAGACTGCATTTGAGATTATTTCTGGCTGGATCAGAAAAGAAAATTTGCACATAGTGGGACTCGGAGTTCTTCACAGGAACTGGGATTTGGCTACATTTGGCAGAATGAGCAGTTAAAAGCCTGGAGAAATTTCACTGTGATCTTTAAAAAGAAATAATTGCAAAGAAGGAAGAAATGATGACCATCCTTTTCTTAATCATTTGTCGATCTATTTTATAGCGAAGCTAGCTAATTAATGGAGACCAATGGTTCATTGATATATAGATAATTTACCTTATACTGTATATTCTTCTTACGTTCCAATTAAGTCCTGCATTGTTTCTATCTTACTGGGGAAAACTGAGAACCTATGGGAGAAAGATTCAAGTTTTATAGGCTATTTCTGCCATTGTATTGTGTTCTGAGTCTGAATTCCAGAACTATCAGAAAATTCATGAAAGAAACAGAAGACCATGAAAACAAATTGTCTGGCAGGAAAGAACAGCATTACTGATTTTAGATATATTTGTTCTATTCTGGTTTTAACAGGCAGGCAGCACTACAGATGCTTTCTTATAACAAAATAAAACAGGAATGAGATCTATGCAGAACACTATATTAGAACCTTGAAAATAAGGTTCAGATTTATGTGCCAACTTTAGAAAATTGTTCCCAATAACAGGCATTGTACATTTCACAGTTACCATGTGGAGGGTTGTTGATTTGGTTTTCTTGGAAAAACACCGATGCCATGATGAGGTGTCATTGTATTTGCCTCTATTTAAATTAAATTGAGTAAAATCATTTCAGTTTTGCTTCAGAGCTATAAAAAGAGCTGTTTTTCCTCTCTCCGTTGTAATTGAAACACACTTCCAAAACAGAAAAATGGCTGAAATTTCAATCCATGGAATCTTGTTGTTTGCTTTTATTAAGCAAAGGATAATACCTCAAAATTTGAAGGAGTTGATTCTTTGAAATTTGCAGTTATTTTGGCAGCAGTGCTATGTTTACTTACTTTGGAGCAAGCAGCACTAACTTCAGTTAAGTCCTGTTTCTGAGTAACGATGAAGCATTTAATCCAACGTTTTCTTTATACGATTTCTAGAAAGGGTTACTATTGGAATGTAATAAAAAAACTACTGACACATTCTTATTTTATCCCCTCCCCTCATTTTACTAAAACTAATAATCCCCTACTCTACAACCCACCTTTCATTGATAATGAATAAATAATGTGTAATGATTAAAAAAATGAAATGTAGTCATTTTGGCACCTCATGCTCTCTAAACTGGGGTACAAATAGCATCAAAACAATTAAGTTTCATAATAC